AATTAAATATTTTAGCAATGGAAAATAGTTTATATGTTGTTGCCAAGAAATTTACATGGATGAATCAAGAATCACCAGATGTCCAGATTGATTTGAGGGAGACTTTATCTGTTTCCTATAGTGGGTACTCATTACAAGTGAGAACATTTCAAAAATTCATCAGCTAAGAATGAGATGCACACCACAACAACACAAGCACATATTTTGCAAATGGAATTGGTAGATCCTATTTTCTTGCTGTTGCTTCTCTCCAATATGCTACAGAAATACTGGAGAGAGCAAATGCTGTTGGTAAGGGTCCAAATGAGCATCAAACTTTATATTTAAAAAAAAAACTTCAAGGAGGGTTCAGACATTAAACTAACAGTAAGAGCAGCACATAACAAAAAGGAACATTCATTTTTTGCATTTATACCTTGTCTCTTCTCTGAAAATTGATAGGATACATGAAGAGCCTAGTATAACTTTATCACCAAACAATAATCTAGCCAGGGGGCTGTGCTGAAATGACAGACTGTCCCAGAATGTCCACTGACTGAAGCAGTCAAATGGAAATTTGAACATGGGTCTTCCTGATCCACATTCAATCATTACACATGTAACAAGAAAAAATATATGCATTTTTATTAAAAAAAATACATGAAATGCTAACAGAGATTTTTATATCTTTTCTAACAATTCTGATTCAATTTGGTGACAATAATTTTTGTTTTAGCACTTACCCAAAGTGACCATGAGGAACCAATGAACCTTGTGGAGCCTCTCAAATATTGGAACACTGCTATTAATGTCACCCTTAGTTCTTCTTTTCATCAGACTAGACATGTACAATTCCTGCAATTGTTCTTCATATGTTCTATCCTCCAGTCCCCTAATCTTCTTTGTTGCTCTTCTCTGCAATTTCTAGAGGCTCAAAATCTTTTTTATATAATGACCAAAACTGGATGAATATTCCAAGTGTGGTCTTATCAAGGCATTATTAAGTGATACTAAAACTTCATGCGATCTTGACTCTATCTCTGTGTTAATATAGCCTAGACCACACTGGCTTTTTTGGCAGCTGCAGCACACTGCTGGCTCATATTTAAGTGGTTGTCCACTAGGACTCCAAGATCCCTCTGAGTTACTACTATTGAGCCAGGTATCACCTATTCTATACCTGTGTATTTGGTTTTTCTTGCTTAAATGTAGAACCTTACTTTTCTCACCATTGAATTTCATTTTATTAGAAAGGGTCATGTTCTAGTCTGTTGAGATCCTTCTGGATTATGAACCTATCTTCTAGAGTGTTGGCTATTCCCTGCAGCTTGGTGTTGTCTGCATATTTGATGAGTTCCCCTTCTATTCCTCATCTAAATCATTTATGAAGATGTTGAAGATTACTGGGCCTAAGACAGAACCTTGGAGTACCCCATTGCATACGTCTGCATAACATGGTGATGTACAAATTGAGTGTAATTTGTCAGCTTCTGGTTATAACTTGCTTGCTTCTAGGTGTTTGCAGATCTATTGCTTGATTATCTTTTCCAGGATCTTCACAGGTATTGATGTTAGGCTGATTGGTCTGTAGCTTCCTGGATCCATTTTTTTCAACTTTGTTTGTGTGCATTTATCCAATTACATTGCTTTGCACATATTTTCCCCAGTGTACACATTTTTGTAAAGCCTTTTTTCATCCATTGAACATTTTTCTCTGACATTGTAGTTGTTGCTTGCTTCTTGGAATAACTGGAAACTGGTATCTAGTAAATTATATCTATTCAAGAAGAAGCCTACCCAATCCATGTTTAAAGCAAAACGTCCTCTTCCCTGGCCCCAAGTGACTCTGGCTTTGGGTTATGATAAGCGTGTTGAACTGGATCCACACAGGAGAGCAATGCATCATCTAAATAATGCTATGAGTGGGTCCTAGCATAGACAGGTAGAACAAAAAAACAAGGTAGTTTAATTGCTTAATTGTGATCCTTCAAGTGAGTTTTTCCTTTCATGATTGACCTATTTTAATAATTCTCTTTTGACAAGTTAATTTGGTTATTCAACAAAGCAAGTACCATCAAAATGAAGAATACAGAAATGAATAATTAGAGACAGTAGGTTGTTTTAGCTACCATATTTATTGCTTTTGTTTGGAATTATATGACTCCTTATGCCCGAGGATCTATGTTCGTGTCCCTAGCATTCTTGTTTTATTGCCTGTCAGAGAAGCCCAAAAAATAGCAGGACGTTCAGGAAGGCAGTATCGATTATATTTGGAAAGCAAAAGCTGAAACTCTCCCAACATTACATTTGGCAGAATGAGTAGCATCCTAGACAGAGAAACTCTAAAAGAACATCCTTTTGAAGTTCAAGTAAGAATAAGACATAAAACATTTGTTTCTACTTATTAAAGTTTAAGTGTTATCTCAGGATGACAGTTATATACTGAATCATACTTAAATAAGAGCACTGGTGAACCACACTGGAGGTTTCTTCATTAGCCTGTGGTCTGGCATGAGATAATTTATATTCATTTATTCTACATATTTCCTCTGAGGAGATGTGAAATTGAAACATAGAAAAAAAGTTTTCTTCAATATTACATGATTCAGCTTCTGGAGGCAACCAGGAATTAAACAAAACCCTGAATATCGTCATCATTCTCTTTTGGCGATTGGTATTTTACCTTCCTGTTGCTGGACAAGACCATTTTTTATCACATCCTTATCTAATAAATAACTCAAGGGTGACAAACATATATAATACTCCCATATCCTCCTATTTTTCCCAAAACAATCAAGTGAGATGAGTTGGACGGAGACAGATTGACTAGTTCAAAATCACACAGCAATCTTCCATGTCCAAGGTGAGACGAGAACTCACGATCTCCCAGTTTCTAGCCTGGTGCCTTAACCACTAGACTAAAAGTGGTTCTGACATGCTTAGAACATATTTATCTGGCCAAAGGAAACCTGTAAATTTGTAATGAAAAATATGACATTGTATCATTAATTTAAGCATAAGCAATTCTGCACTTGTCTGTCTTTCCTCAAATCTGATCCTTCTTGTAAGTTATTTTCCCCACATTTGTGTCAGCCATAAACTGAATGCAACCCATTACAAGTACTTATTTTGATATGAAGTGTTTGCAGAAATTCTCCATAAATTCTGAAAATAAAACAAGGCATTATTCATTTGGCAAGCTACAAGAACGAAAGAAAAGAGCCAAACGGCTGCCAGGAAAAGGAGGGAAAATGAAATGAAAAACAGATGGATTCATTAATATTAATTTATGAAAGCTGAGTGTGAAAATAAAATAATTCTGCCATTGCTCTTAATAAAAACAGGGGCATTGCAGTAAATGATCTTATAGATGATATGTGCCAGCATGTAGGATCATGGTCATTTCCACTTGGAGAAAAATTCTAAGATCAGACTGCATGTATTGTATCCAGCCAAATTCAGCCTACCATTATACCATGGACACTTGATGGTATTTTGATGGATGAACAGTAATAGTGGATGAACTTTTTAATTGTGATGGATATAAATCAACCTGTTGGTGCCATAGGGCATACTCTGGAAAAACTGAATGGCTTGTTTGGAAAGGACCTATTTTTTAAAAGCATAATGATTTTTTTAAAAAAATTATCTGTTAGATCAGTGATGGCGAACATTTTAGAGACCGAGTGCCCAAACTGCAACCCAAAAACCACTTATGCATCTTCGGGTGCCGGGTGGGTGTGGCCCATTGGCTGGGTGTGGCCAATTGGGTGGGTGTGGCCCATTGGGTGGGCATGGCTGCAGTGGTAACGGCAGACTGGGTGGGACTAAAAAGTTCAATCAATCAATTCCAACTTTGCAAGATCTTTTTTTTCCCTGTGAGAAGTTGAAATTGACTGATTGATTGAACCGTTTTTTTTTTTTTTGCACACAGCGGCGGAGGCCTAAAGCAAAAAGGTTTTATAAAATCTAGCTGAAGGCCTAGGACTGGGGCGACGGCACGCGTGCCCACAGAGAGGGTTCTGAGTGCTGCCTCTGGCACCCATGCCATAGGTTCGCCACCACTGTGATAGATCATTTAAGTCTTCATGGCTAAGAATGAACCTGAACCTGAGCCAGTTCACTACTAGAACCACACAGAACCACTACACTACACTGAAAACTGAAAAATACAGTAAGTGAACCAGAAGACTTTATTCATCTTCTCAAAGCAAACCACACGCTTTCCCCCATCCACCCACTATATCAAACATAAAATTAAAGTAACAAACATAATTAATAGGTAAATTAAAACAATTCATGTGACAAATTAAATCCCTTTAAAAAAATAGCACAACTTCTTTAATTAAAATATCAGTGAAACCTGGCTTTCATTAGCTTTTGATACGAAAGTACCTGTCTTGGTGTAGCTGTTTGTCTTGAAACCTATTGACCCAAGATTTGAATAGGTCACTGCATTTACAGATATTTTTGCAGCACTGAAAAATGCCCTACATCATTTATGTTATGCAAAATTAACCTCAATACAAGTCGCTAATACAGTAAAGTGTGCAGAATAATTAGTACAAAGCAAAAAACAACAACACCTTAAACTTATAGTGCTTTGAAACCAATTCTTGGAACAGCACTAGAAGATAGCCTACGAGATGGAGGTACAATATAATAACACCACTAATAGCAATTATTTGAAATGAACAAGGGTGTTTTTTTTTAAATCATCTATGGCCTGGATTCTTTATCCACAAACTGGAGTACCACCACAGATATTTTTGTAAAATATGACAGCGGTGCTAAAACATTTCTGGAATGGATAGAAGAGTGTAGGAATATTTCTGGGAAGAGGGAATATCCTGTTTAAAACTTGAAACAACTATTATTACAGTGCAAAATATTTTGAATACAAATCACCTCACATAGCCCCAATATGTGCAATCCTTTATGATAATGGTCATTTTGGTAGTAAATGGAAGGCAAGGAATGATGAATCCTGCAATCTCAAAGGAAAACAATGAAGCATCAAATGTCAGCATAAATCACAAATTTATTAATCTTAAATATATCTGTCAGTTCTTTACCATTATGGCAGGAGATATATATCTATATATCTATATCAATATATCAATATATAGATACACGCGCACACACACACATATATGTACATATATATGCATACACACATATATATGTGTACACACAGAGACATATATATGTATAAACACACAAATACCTATACACTGTCTCATAGTAAACTGCAGTGTATTAAAATGGCAAAAAGTAGATGTATAATTCAGGTGGAGTGCAGAGAACTAACTCACATTGTATTTCTCACATCTCAGTGGAAGACAGACGATCTAGAATAATATGGCATCACCGCATGCTATGGTAAAAGAGTAAAAAAAATCTATGCCATATTTCCATAACATAAAAATACACTAATGCCACCTAAATCTGCTTCACAAAAGAAATTTATTAATGAAAATTATGCATGACGCCGTTATCTTTTCACAGATCCCACTAGCAGATTAATATGGCTTGAGACATTTACTGATGATTGTTCTCAATACTTCTGTGGGTTGAAAGTATATAATAACTATCATCAGAAAAGCTTAAATTTTTCTAACATAATGTTTACAACATCAAGGTATAAAGAATAAGATCCACTTTTGATTAATAATCAGTATAGAGAAATGAAAGTTATACAAATTGGGACTTTTTTTCCTCTGTCTTTAAAAATTTTCAAGCTGTTATAAGTTGTAATTTTTTAGTTACCAAAAAGAATATTAATCAAAATATCATGCGCTATACAGTGTTACAAAAATTGATTGCCCTACTTAAAGAAAAATATTTTAATAAGAAAGAAAAGTATTAATACATTTTTTTAAGAAAAACTGAAATAGAAGGAGCAGTACTTTTGGAAATATGTTATATTTATATAAGAAAAGCAAACAAACATTATCCAAACATGTGTTCAACTGCTTGTTTTGCAGGTATACATGCAGTAATAGACATTTGAGGGACATTTGACATGTAGGAAAATGAAGAAATTAATAAATCTACAATTACTGTTTTATTTCATACTTCAAGGCTGTCAACAAGCCATGAAAAATGGATAAATTACTGTTAAATTTGACAACATTATTAGAAAACAGGTGTTTCCTGGTAATAAATTGATACAAAGAAAATTTAGACTTCTGATACTAAGCTTTTAAGACCTAATTGTTCTAGATTGCTACACATCTTATTAGAATATCAGTTAAAAAATCCTCTACATCTTGCTTTAATAAATGTACTGTACATCCAAAAAATGATTAAGAAAAGTTTTATTTTACCCATAAGCTATATCACCAGAAGCTACATTGAATCTGTTTACTGTTTGGCTTCTGAAAGCTAAAAATGCTGTTGTTGTTTTTTCTGAAAATGAGGCTGAATAAGCAATTAGAAAAGAAAGAAAAAACTATTTGCTGTTACATTGCTGAACAAATGACCGCAGTGACAAATTATTCTTGTTAAAGTCAAATCTGCAAATTTTGTCCTTTCTTCTTCTTCTTCTTTTTCTTCTTCTTCCAGTTATACATAGTGAATCCTAGCAAAGGCAACTTCCCAAGATCTCAAACCAAAATGCTTTGGTCTAAGTCACTATGTCTACCATACATCCTACATTAAAGATGCTGTTTGTAGGAATTTTATTAATCCTTCTATGACACAAGGATTAGGCAACAACCTTTAAAAACAAATGATTCAGAAAAGAATAAAAATTAAAACAAAGTTAATTACTTTTAACCTTTGTTTTTATAGGGTGCACATGCAGATGATATTTGTATTTTGGCTGGAGATGTATAGTCTGAATATACTCTCACATTTCAATTTTTCCCTTTACACTTTATTCTTGTTCCTCTCTTTCCAACTGCCATGAAACATTTCCTTCAGTGAAGGGTAAACAAAAGCTATCAATGGAATATACAACAAAATGATGCAATCACTTGAAGAAACTTCACAGCTTCATGCACTCAGAGAACATGCATGAAGAGAGCCAAGGGATGGCCCAGGGGAGCCAACCAAGTGCGGAGTGCGTGGACACAACGTGGGTGGCGCTGACATTTAGCTAAAAGACAACAAGCAAAGAGAGAGAGAGAGAGAGAGAGAGAGAGACAGAGAGATGGAGGGAGGGAGGGAGGGAGGGAGAGAAAGAAAGGGAAAAAAGGAGGGAATGAATTATTAATTCATTAATTATTTTGTGCTAAATCTAGGGAATATTTTTCAAACAAACATTTTTATTGTTCATTAAAAAGACCCAAACAAATCAAATGCCAAACCTATTTTCTTCTTCAAATGCTAATATTGAGTATAAATATTTATATTCAAATAATTATATTATTTTTTAAAAAAATAGGGAAAACTGATTTAAGTTTGTACAAGAGGATTTTTTTGCATCTTGCTATTAACAATTATTGGGTAATAATCTACATCATATTCAGACAACCGATTCAATTCTATTGATACTGGTGTTGTGATTTCTGTATGAACATTAGAGTATTATAAACCCAACACTTCTTGACTGTAATGAAAGAAATTAAAAACATGTGAACAGAGGTTAAATCCTTCCTGAACATTATTTAGCAAGCCAGGAATGAACATGAATGTCACTCAACAAAAGACAAAACACTGTACTCTAATCAAGACTCCCTAAGCTCAGACAAACATTCTGAAATTGTTGCAGTTTTGAACCTCATCTGCTTAAATCTCAACTGATCTTTGAAAAGTTTTTTCCCTATTTCTGGTACTTTTTGGCAATACTTATCTGGAGATTTGGTTTGAAGGGTTATGTCATGCTAAATCATTTTTTAGTCTGAAGCTATGAAACAGATGGAGGTCTCAGATTTTTATTCATTTGTTGACACAATACGTAATAATTTGTGGTTATTTCCACAGCCAAATTAATATCAGAACATTCATCTGTTACAGCCTAGTCAACTCAAATCTGTTCTTGAATCTGCGACTGTTCATTGAAGCAAATTCTAAGAAACAATCTGTCATCTTTCCTAAAGCTGATTTGATAAATATAAGAAAGATACAAAATGGAAATTATTCTTGTGATCTTTTCTGCTTGGCTACATCCAATATGCCCCTAATTCCATTAATTCCCACTGTCTCAGTGTGGTTTATTTTATGCAAAATGCCACTGAATACTTATTCATGCTATGCAAATATACCATATTTCATTACAATCTATTTATTTTAATTCTTTAATGTTGTGAGCTGCTCAGGGCAGAGCTCTACTGAAAAATAATATGCAAATCACTGGTGATGTAAATATGGGGCTTTATTTATTTGACAGTATTTTTATACTGCCCCAGTATAAAATAAATCGCTTCAAATTCCCAGAGATGATTAGTTTGAGTAGAATTGGCAAAAAGAAATGTGGAATGAGAAAAATATAAAAGATAAAATGGATGAAATGGCGCAACAAAGGTCTAAACCTAGTTACGTAGAAAAGTTGCAATGAGGGGACACAGATCCATTACTCACTTGATAGGAACGGTTGGTGATCCTGAACGGTGAAAGTGAACATTTTGCCATTTTCCATCCCGGCGGTGCCAAACCCGTGTCTCTTCTGACTGCATCGTTTTTGGCATTCCACTTCCATCCATATATTGAGTCAGTCGGATATATGCAATGCAGGCAGCATCATCCCCTACCAGGTGGACATGGGGATTCAGGATAATGGTGTGGACTGGCTTGTTGCTCTTAGACAAAGCTATGGAAGGAAAGACATATTATATCTAAACCCTTTGTGCACAAAACAGTTGCACTCCAGATCATCGAATCCCTCTTAGGATCAAAGAAAAAGAAATTCTGAGCAGCCACCGATAAACTCATCTAAAATTCTATGGATTGTGTTCACAGAGTAAAAGCACCAATGAATATATCACACAGCGATGTATGTTTATTGGCACAGGAGATCTTAATTACATAGTGAGTAGTTAAAAACATTAATTCTTGACCAAATTAGGTGAGGATCAAAATTGGATCTATGACATTTTAAATATTGTCCATCTGTTGCAGCCTAAAACATTCCTCACGTGCTCTGAACAGGGGTATTTTTGTTGTGAAATATGCTATTACTGGATCAAATTATAAATTATTCTGCTGAATGAGTCTGCAGTTCCTGCCATCTTATTTATGGTTTTGTTTTCCTCCTTTAGAGAGATTGGTATAGACTTAAAACTTATCAAAAATATAAAATCCAAAGTTATTTTCTAGGACACTTACATACAGTAACTGATAGCAAATAGGTTTCAACTTTAGGGCTCTGAAATTCCAAACATCTGGAGACTACCATTATGAAGCTGGGTTCCCTCCCCCCAAACTCTGGAGATATAGCAGTTGGAAGAAGCAAAGAGAACAATAAAACTAAAACACTGGTTTTCAGTTTGGTTTTCACTGACAACGCCATAGGTTTTCCATTCTATATACAACTAGACAATCCAAGACCCCTTGGGTCATCCTTTCAGAGATATTCCCTTACCAAATTCCTCAATGTCTCCAACAATGACAAAGACTCTAATAAGTGCATTTAAGGTATGTTGGTTCAAAAGGTTTTGTTTATGCCACACCATTTTGCCCAAGTAAAGGTTATAAGAAAAAGAGTTTTGGTAGTATATTGATGGGTTGCTTTCAACATAAAACATGGAAGTTTTTTTACAACACCTGTATGGAACTGTTATTCTATTCTAATATTCTAATATTTCAAAGTGTTAAAATTATAATTTATACTTTATACAAACTCATTTAAGGAACACTGTGTATCTTCAACTCACATCTTCATTTTACAGTAAAAAGAGCTCTTTTTACAGTAAAAAGAGGAATCATGTTCTTCACAATGAAAAGAATAAAAAGCCCTAATAAGATACTGATGCAGTTCTACCAGTTTGAAAACATAACTGCTTAGTTTTAGTGCTAAGGAAAAACATGAGCATTTTTGAAAAAAAATGTGGTTAGGAATTTTTCCGAAAGTTATTGACTGCTAAAATAGGTCTATACTGGGAAAGTACAGATATAAAATATACAATGTTCAGATTAATTGATTTGGTTTACAAATAGCTTCAGGCTGCTGATAGATAACATCTTGCTTTTCAATTAGCAGAAGCAGTAATATCTTTTTAAAAAAATCAAACTAAAATGTAATCGTTGCTAATACTATCTGAACATATTAGTTTATAAGAGCTTGTTTGTTCACATTATAATCCAATTTTCTGAGTACAGAACATGAATATAAAGCTTATTGAGTAGCACATGTAGTCATCATCTCCCAAAACTAAATTATTTTTATGCCCACAGGTTTCCTTCAGTCATTTACTTTTCCATTTGTCTTGGTTTCCCTATGTGAAGAACTATGCATTAGATTTGGTCAAATTTCATCTTATCCTCAGTCCTATCATTTTCATTTTTCTTTATCTAGAGGAAATCATTCCCTAAAGTATTTATTTATTTACTCCCTTAATTAATTAATTAATTAATTAATTGGCTGCCCTTCTTATCTCAAGGTAATTCTGGGTGGCTTACAATCAGAAATATAGTCCGTTCTGGTTGTAAGCAAAATCAATTTCTACTCAAGCAGCAGTTTTGACACACCCTAAACAACTTTTTGAGAGTAGAACCTATGAAGACCTATGCTTCTGCTCTGAACCCACTAAAACAAAAACATTTATTTTTTCTGGTGATGTAATTACTTTTCAAGTGATGTTACTTGTGACCCTCCAGTGGGTTGGGGAAACTAACTGTGGCCCTTGATCAAAGAAATGTTGCTTCCCAATATAAGTTAATTCCTTAAATTATCTGAATTTGCTGTCTTTAAAAAAGGGTTGGATCAATTCATGGAAGTCATAAGGATCAATGGGTATTAGCGTTGATGGCAATGTGAAGGTCATCTGCTGGGAGAACACTTTTTGCACCGTGAGAACTGTGAGAACATAGTGCTGGAAAAGATGGAGTAGGGATCTGATCCAGCTGGGAACTGCTTATGTTCCCGTAGATATGATTAGCTATACAGATGGCTGTCAACTTACAACAGTTCATTTAGTTACCGTTCAAAGTTACAATGGCACTGAAAAAAGTAACTTATGACTGCTTTTCACACTTACAAACTTTGCAGCATCTCCATGGTCACATGATCAAAGTTAAAATGCTTGACAACTGACCCATATTTATGACAGTTGCAGTGTACCAGAGACACGTGAACACTTTTTGTGACCTTCTGACAAGCAAAGTCAATGGGGAAACCAGATTCACTTAACAACTGTGTTACTGACTTAACAATTTCAGTGATTCATGTAACAACTGTGGCAAGAACAGTCGTAAAATGGGGTAAAACTCACATAACAAATATCTTGCTTAGCAACATAAATTTTGGGCTCAATTGTGGTCATAAGTTGAGAACTACCTGTATATGAACTTTGTAACATTAATCTAAAAGGTTTGAGTCAAAAGACATAAACATCAGATAACAGCCTACCATTTTCAAAATAAAACCGGTGGAAGTCCATCCCTTCTACAAGATTTCCCAAAGCTTCAGGCTCAAATGAGGTCAGACCAGGATCACAGATTTTCCTACAAAGTAAAGGGAAAAAAAATCTCCTGTACACATTATGCGAGAAAAATGAAAAGCCATTATCTACATGCAGGACATCTTACAAAGTCTCAGTTCTTTCCTTAAATCCTGAATTTCTTGTGATCCCCTTGGAGAACCACAGCTTTAAGGCACTAGTTTTGCCTTGAAAAAGAGCTGTCCTGGTGCTTTTTCTACTCCTTTCTTTGAAGCACACACACACACACACAACTGACACAGTAGGTGAAGCCAGCTCTGAGATTGCTGATAGCTGAAAATGTCCTCAGCTGAGATTGCCTTCAGGAGGCTCTTCCGTCTCCCATTAATGCATGCATTTCTGCAACAGGAAACACTAAGGATGCTACTAGATGAAAATGTTCCAAGAATGTTCTGTTGCACCTTTGACCCACTTCTCTCTTTTCTAATTTTTTTAAACAAGTTTTATTAATTTTCCAATTTTACAAAAATCCAAGTATTAAGGAAGCAACATGGTGATTGGGTAATCCATAATCCAATAACAAGTTCTTTCATACATATGTCAGGTTACATCATCAAAAATTTCCTCTCTGTTTCCCTTGGTTATTATATCACATTCAGATTAATACATTGCTAGTTATAACTCAATCGGTTAAGACATTTATCAATTTATTTAACTTATACGCATCCATGTCCTGTTTTTAAATTTTACCTAATTTCAATTACAGTATTCCAGTTAGCTTAATATCCATAGTATTTAGATTTTGGGTAACCCAAAGTTCCCTTAGTTCATTACAAAATAGTAGTCATATCTAAAATACACTTATTATTTACTCGAATAAATTCTTACTTTATTTCACAAACATATTCTATTTCTCATCCTAGTACCTCATCACCTACTAATAAAATAATCTTTTATCGTCTCAATCCAACTTCTATATTATAATTCAAAACTATTATTCTACTGGCTATTTTTTATTTCCCTTATAAGTCTAAATCCTAAATATTAAATCAGTTAGTATCTTTTAAAGTCTCCTTAGCCCATTAAATGAGATTTTAAGTTTTCCATTATAGGTCACATAAACAATCCCATTTTTTAAGTCTAGCTCTAGCTTTCTTTTTGTGCCAAGCAGGCTTCCATAGCAATGCCTTTAAATCCTCAGGTGGCTCTCCCTTCATTCCTACACATGTTATTTGAATCAAGGGAGACCATCCAATTATAATTTTTTCAAGGGAGCTGGCCCCTTCATAATCATTGGATTGTTGGCCTAATAATTCAAATCTCCATGTTTGGCTTAGTATATTTGTCGTCAGTTCAGTCTGGTCTTCTTCTTCTTCCGGTTTCAGCTGGTTTAAGTAAAAAGTCATGTTCAATGTTGTAATTGTTGTTTGGTTGTCTGGGTTGTCTAGGTTCTCAATGTGCTGTACATGTTGGTCTTCAGCACCTTCCATCTTAGTATTGCTTTCTTCAGTTTCTGTTGCTTTTTGAATTGCAGATTTTTTAGTTAAGATCAAGGTTTGGCTATCAGGGTTCTCAGTAGATTGTACCTGGTATTCTTTAAAGTCCACTTTGATGTTAATTTCTTCCTCTTCTGTTGCACTTTGGGTTGTAAGTTCATCAGTTGAAATCTGGGCTGCATTTTGTAACTTTAAGTTGGCGCCTTTATCTTTCAGTCTGGAATTCATTAGCTTAGTAGCCTCAAGGATTTTTTCAAGTGTAAGGTTGTAGTTAAGTTGTGGGTAGTATTCCTCCATTTCTATGGTGTTTACAGATAGTCCTTTAGTGGAGGCTATTTTTGATAAAAGTATACCAAGTTTCGCCACAAATGTCCCCAGTAGCATGTAAAGTCTTTTCCCAAACTCAAGTTAGGCTTTTATCCAGTTTTTAAAAAAAATGTTCTTTTTTTTCAACTTAGCAGCTAGATAAGGTAATAGGTCCCCATAGAAATAGGAACTTTTTGGGACCCCAAATATCCAAAAGGTGCAAGTCCAATTATTTAGTTGTTTAGTTTAGTTGTTCTTTTCTTTTTCTTTTTCCAAAGCTTTATATTCCCAGGGTAGGCAGAAGCCGCCAAGTTAAGAGGGGGGGGAAAAGAAATTTCCAAAGGCTTTTACAGGAAGATAGTTGGGATACAAGAAAGGTAAGGTAAGGTCTCACCCAATTCCTCCGCAGTGCTTTTGTTGTGCTTGGTAGTGCTTTTAGCTTTTGGCTTAGTGATCGGCCATGTTAATGGCTGATCTTTTCTTCGTTGGTCCAAAGCAGCTGCCTCAGATCAAACGGAAGGGCTCCCGCCCTTCCGCAATCTGTCGAGGGTCCTCCTCACGGTGGTCGCCCCTCCAGGGCAGCTTTTGACCCTTTCAGGGTCTTCCGACAAAGGAAAACCGGATGGCGGAGAGAGCGCTCTTCCCGCACGTCCGCCGGAGCCATGATCGCAAACTGGAAGCCTCTCTTTTCTAATTTTTGATGATATGTGTAAGCTGAGATAAACACTGCATAGATTACATGTCACTATCTACAGTACATTTTGGAAATATATTAAATATATGAAAGTCTTTATGCTGAACACCATCTAACAATCCTGGTTGTGTGGTTTCTTACCAATCTGAGGCAGAAAATATAGGGAAACTTTAACAGTTAAAAGAAAGAAGAATTTAACTTCTGTTCCCTGAAAGCAGAAAAATCCAATCTCTGTCCACAACTGTGATATAAACTTAAATAATGAGCTGATTTATCATAACCCTCAATACCCACTGACCATTAAAATGTCCTCTAGCTCCAATATGAGAAATTCTTTCTTCTTCTCCTCAATATGATCAAGAGAACAGCAATCACATTCTGGTTAAAACAACCAGTTTCTGGAAATATACTCTAACATTATACTGATATCCAAGCAAGAGAAAGCAGAATAGGGAGCAGAAAGAAACTTACGTGTAGGCTTCAAAATCCCCATTATTGATAGCTTCTATCAGCTGCTCGGTAACCTTGATGATCTCTTGTTTACGAGCTGGAGACAAGAAAAAAACATGTACAATGACAAGATTAAATATAAAATGAAAGTCAATGGAACAAAAGATTATATGAATAACAGTCTCAATCATAGAGCTATCTCTCTCTGATCAATTATGATTGTTGTGCATTCAAAAAGCCTCTGTAGTTCATCCTTTGCTGTTAACACAGCTACAAGTTGAGTTGCTTCCAATTTTATGTAATGGACTGACCTCTATACATATTTCTGTGTGGACAAAACAGAAGCAAGAATTGGAGATCTATGGCTTATCCCTTTTTATGCCTTCAGTGAATCTTGCAGCTTCAAAACTATTCAGAAAGGATGTAAAAGGAAGCATGGATATAATAAGAATAATCCTTTGATGAGTTCCATGCATTTGACAGAATATCTTTCTGATATATCGTGCAGGTTATTTATTCTTATTCTCCTTGTAATTTCAAAGATGGGTTGTATGGGATCTCTTGAAAGTGTCCTTAATTTCACATCATATAGACAGATTTAACTGTAGTTTAAACTCATTCCATGATGTTTGTCTATCTATCCATTACATAAAAACACAAAATAGAACAAGATTATTTGAATACTTTGTAGAAACTTAATCTTTATTCTTTTCTATGGGACCCTTTAATTGCAGCAATCATTTGCATTTTAAAATTTGAATAGGAATAATGTTAGATCATAATCATTCACACATAAATTGAGTGCAGGTACATTGGTTATGGCTGCTGGTAGCACACAAATAATATCTTCCCTAGAGCAGGAGAAAGTATTATTACTCCCCTTCGCAATTTCTAAGAAGGACTGTTACACAAAGTGAGTTTTCTTACTCCCAAGGGAAGGTACATTTTCCTCAAGTGTAATCAGATACATTCCATTCCTCCTTAGTTTTCAGATCACTTTCTCCCCTCAATCCTGCAAAACTCTTTCTCATTCAATATATTGTAAAACAAGAAAAGGAAGACAGAATCAATGTTTTGATCAGGGCACTTAGCTCTGTCAAGAAGTATGTATGCTGCCGATAGATAGATAGATAGATAGATAGATAGATGGATGGATGGATGGATGGATGGATGGATGGATGGATGGATGGATGGATGGATGGATGGATGGATAGATAGATAGATAGATAGATAGATAGATAGATAGATAGAAGCTTTAACATGGAGAACAACAATCAACAGAATCTCAGAAAAGGAGGAGTAAAACAATGTGTCTAGTACTATTAAACTATGAAAATTCATTCATAGAGTAAAATACATGGAATACATTTGTTGTTGCTGAAATTACTTGCTCAAAAGATCCTATGTGGAAGAGATTTTTGAAATCAAGGAGAGGAAGCAAACATATTGAATACACTCTCTTCATTACTAGTAATTATTTGTAAAAAAAAAAACAATAAAGGAGGGATAGAAATAAAAATAAAATAAAATATATATTTTCAACTTTGGGTACCTTGCAATTCTTTGCAAGTTTGTGAGCTGCAGAATGGTTTACACAAAACATATGAAATAAAATTGTATGACTCTATAGGATAAACACATTTCCATCCAACAAAATGCATCATTTATTTATTTTTAATATTTCTATCCTGCAGCAATCAAACAACATTTAATTGCTTTGATATGAACAGAAGTAAAACATCCAGTGAGGCTAATACCAATCTAAACAGTTACAGTATTCAAAGCAATAGCTATACTAACCCCACATGTAAATAAAAGGTTACAAAATTGATCAAAAAGAAAATAAATAAATAAGGAACATATCTATGCAGATTCTCAGTCACCCGGGTCATGGTTGTCCCAAAGATGGACTTTCTTGTTTTTCTTTGAAGACATTTTGCTTCTCATCCAAGAAATTTCTTCAGTTCTGACTGGATGGTGGAGAAGGGAGCTTCTTGGATGAGACGCAAAACATCTTCAAAGAAAAACAAAGTCCAGTTGCCTCTTGAAAAAGCGTCTTTGGGATAAACAAGGAACAGAAAGCATAATATTTGGAGTTTGGACCACCATACATGATAAAAGCCAAGGGCCTCACATGGAATGTGTCTCATTCTGCATCAACCTAACCTCTAATCAGACATTAGAGAAATGTTCTTTCTTAAAAAAAAAGTTAAAATTATCCATAAAAAATAATTTTGTGGGGATCTCCTAACTCTTATAGAGTATTTTTTTTCACAAAAGTCCATTTGGTGTCAACATAGTACCCCTATCAGCATCATAAAATGCTTATAATGTAGGCACTTGGCATGTACACAAATACTTAAATAAAGGCTTTAAGATATGTATATTTAATCATTAATAACTAAGACTCAAAACCAAAACCAATCTCAGTGGCACGAAAGTCTATCAATCCATGGACAATTTTCAAACTTACAAAGTAGCAACTGCAACCCAACTAGATAAATAGAGCTGACCAAGAAGTTAAGCTCTTTTACTCATTCAATATTTAGAAGAATTCTGAATCCAAAACAATTATATTTGCTACTTCCAAGCATGAAATCCAGCAAAGTGAGAACTTTCCTCCATCATCCAAACAGAAAAAATGTCTTATGAACATTGTGAAAAACAATTAAAATTTGGAAGAAATACAAGGACTTTAAGAATGTAGTGGATCACACTTGTGCTTCAGAGAGATGAAGAGAAACTTTGAAGGCACACAGTGTGGGTGTTGATGAAAGAGAGAAAGAGAATTGACTTGGAGAACTGAAGGAGAAACAAGTTGTGCATGAAAGGAAAGAAGCAAGCTGGAACTAAGGAGAAACATCCTAACAGTGAGGACAATTAACCAGTGGAATGGCTCATCATCAGAAGTTGTAGGTGTTTCATCATTGGAGGTATTTAAGAGACTGGACAGTCACTTGTCTGAAATGGTATAGGGTCTCCTGCTTGAGCAGGGGGTTGGACTAGAAGACCTCCAAGGTCCCTTCCAGCTCTACTCTGTTTAAAATTGATTGAAAGAGCTGAAACTGAACATAAACCATATGGTAGAATGAGCAATGAGGCAGGTGAAGTGAGAAATACTGGGGACTAACAACCTCACAAGCATTCTAAGATGTATACTAGTTACAACCAAGCAGCAATGAACAATTGGTTCTCCCCCCCTAAAAAAAGTATAACCCAATAAGAACTGATAAGCAACCTCAACCTGCAACAGGATGTACTGAAATATGGGAGCTAGAAAGTGAAAAAATGCATGGCCAAGGAATATGATTCTCAGTCCATTAAGGAGAGAACTGGAGAAAGAACTATGTTGTGGCAATTGAGAAAGAAATGTTTATTGAGTAACGTAAATAATATCCTTGTCACATGTCATATATACTCGAAACTTTTAGGTGTCCATATATATCCCAAAAATGGGGTTTGGCTTATACACAGATAATAGAGACTATTAATTTTACATAAGTATATATAGTAGTTTTTTCCCTTAGCTTTTTAAAAATAATCACAGAAAGCCCATCTATGGATAAGCTTTCAAATTTGTAGTTAATGTACCCATGAATAAAACAAATGTGAAGATTAAAAATACCAAAATTCAAAGGTGGCCTTATGCACCGGTGGCACATTTTTCATGATACTTTAGTTAAAAAGTCAAGTGTTGGATTGTCTGGGGATGGGCTTATATGCAAGTATACATTGTATTAAGTACAAATGGAAGGTAAAATTGTATATAATAGGCTTAATATACTGGAGATGTATAGTTTGTATAATTAACATACTTCTTGCAAATATGCGAGAGTACTCTGCCTTTTGGTCTGTGATTTATACCATAACTTAAATCAAAGTTCTCAAACTTTCTTGGTTCATGGTATTTTTAATATCTCATTAATTTTTTCAATGCTCCTAAGCCAGATGTGAATCAACCTCAAGCTAGTTGTCCAAATGGTATCCAACAGATGTTGAGTATTATGTTTCATGAACTTTTTCTATATAAATATGAAAGGTACAGATACATCAAGCCACATTCCAAAAGGGTAGAGCTTACCTAATGAGCTATGGTATAATTTAGCAATACCAAGAAAAACTTTGAAGCTGTAATGGAAATAAAATCCCATGAGTCTGAGCAACATCAAAGAACAGTGGCATTATCAGAAAAAGTAAGAAAAGCAATTGGATTTAAGATTAGAATGGAAAATCAAGAGAGACTGGATTGTTTCAATTTAGAGCTTTAGATTTAAAAGTTGAGAAAATAACTTTCAATAAGAAAGGTAAAAAAGTAAGCCGTGGTGGCGCAGTGGTTAGAATGCAGTACTGCAGGCTACTTCTGCTGACTGCTGGCTGCCAGCAATTCGGCAGTTCAAGTCACTGGCTCAAGATTGACTCAGCCTTCTATCCTTCTGATGTTGGTAAAATGAGGAGCCAGATTGTTGGGGGCAATTTGCTGACTCTGTAAACCACTTAGAGAGGGCTATAAAACACTGTGAAGCAGTATATAAGTCTAAGTGCTATTGCTAAAAACATAACATTATGTCTATTCATTCCCTGTCCAATTCTCTGTTTGAATTGGACAGCCATAATCTCTATAATAACTAATTTCTCTCATGTTTGGAGGCCTTTTTCAGATCCATTCTGTCATCATCATTATCACCATCACTGTTTGTTATTATTTTCCAATACTTCCTGTAGGAAATCTCTATGTAGAAGTCTGTAAGGACATTCAGTATAAATAATGAGCTAGTTTTAGTTCACGTTTTTTCTTTCACAAACCTGCTTCAGCAAAGGTTTCAAACGTGCTGATTCCCACAAGAGCAATTTACCTCCCAGTTTTGTATGGAGCCTATTCCCCTTGTTATATAGGTAGTCTTCAACTTATGACCACAATTGAGCCCAAAATTTCTGTTGTTAAGTGTGACATGTGTTAAGTGAATTTTGCTCCCTTTTATGACCTTTCTTGCCTCAGTTGTTAAGTGAATCACTGCAGTAACATAGTTGTTAAGTAAATCTGGTTTCTCATTGACTTTGCTTGTCAGATGGTCACAAAAGGGGATCACATGATCTTCA